ATAATTATTCCTTATAATGAGTTGGTGAGTCTACACAGATCTATCCTTTGCTGGCAGGATTTTTTCTTAGTAGAAAACAAGCTGTGAGAAATTAGCAGGAGGGGTTGAACCTATAGATTTGGGCTGAAAAGTGGTAAGGGAGCAAATTAGATTCAAAAATTCACCGAGGTCAATCAAGAATCTTGGCTTCCTGAGGAAATGAGATGTTAACCTTTCCTAAACACTGCTTTACATAGGTCTGTTCCAGGGGTGAAATCCAACAGGTTCTGACAAGTTCTGGAGAACCGGTAGCGGAAATTTTGAGTACTTTGGAGAACCGTTAGCGGAAATTTTGAGTAGTTCAGAGAACCAGCAAATGCCACCTCTGGCTGGCCCCAGAGTGGGGTGGGAATGGAGATTTTGTAATATCCTTCCCCTGGAGTGCGGTGGGAATGGAGATTTTGCAGTATTCTTCCCCTGCTACGCCCACCAAGCCACACCCACCAAGGCACACGATGCCCACCAAGCCACGCCCACAGAGCCAATAGTAAAAAAAATTTAATTTCACCACTAGTCTGTTCCAAAGCACTTCTTGTTGTTTATAATGCTTTATTTGCTGTGAATATGTTTATTGGACCTATAATAGATCTGTGACATGAAGAGTATCAAGGAAAATTGCAGGGGAGAAAAGCTCAACCTTTATTTCCGTATCATACTTCCTTTTAGCAAACTAGCCTCTTGCAGGATCTACGAGTAGGTTGATTTAAAACGTATTTCAGCACCTGGGAGGTCCTGTGTATACCTCAGTCTTCTTCCTCCAAATACAATGATAGAGTCAGCTCTACTATTCTCTGATGGATTGATTTTATTTAACCCACAATGCGATACAGCTGTTTCAGATGAAGTGACTGGTCCTCAAACTTAATCTGCAAGAAAACTTTTGCGGAGCATTCCTAAGGACCCATGCCAGTGACAAAAGAGAAATTGAAGTTTGGGAAAAGGTTTAGTGTTGTTCTTACTTAATGCAGATCTTTTACTTCAGTGGTCTTGCTCTCCAATGCTTTGGGGTTGGGAAGAGCCTGGCAGGCCAAAGTGTTAAGGTAGAGGGTCGCATTTAACTAAAAGGGCTGTTTCCAGGGGTGGGATTTAGCCGGTTCGGACTGGTTCTGGCGAACCGGATCCTAATTTTACATCTGGTTTGCTGAACCGGTAGTTGCAAGGATTGGCTGGCCCCTCCCAGGAGTCTCCACGCGGCCTGTTTTGGATGCCAGGTAAGTGCAGCGCACAGAGGCTCTAGGAGGGTGAAAAACGGGCCTCCCAGAAGTTCCGGAAGTCTGAAAACACCTGTTTCCGGCCTCTGGAGGGCCTCCGGAGGCCGGGGGTGGCCGTGTTCGCCCTCCCGGAGCTCGAGAAAAGCCTCTGGAGCTTGGGGAGGGCAACTCCCCCCCGTGGTGCAGGAGGCCAAGTAGGCCACACCCACTATGGCCACGCCCACCCAGCAACCGGGCAGAGAACCGGTTGCTAAAATTTTTGAATCCCACCCATGGCTCTTTCCCATATGCCTATGTCTGATGAAACCGCCTCTGGAGTGTCTTCTTCAGGTGCCAGTATCTTAGTGGGGCAAGAGAAAAATAGAGGCACTGTCTTGAATGGGTCAGAATGTTTTTTGGGATCCTCTTTTGATTCTGTGTTTAAGAAGCAGGTCCCCAATACAGAGGAAAAAGACTTTATGGAGGATTTACTTCTTGCTGTATACATTTGTTTGTGTCCAGCTAGGGACCAACTTCTAGTCTTCTAAGAAAAGTTCATATAGAAAGCTTATGACCGTAGCTTAGTGGCTGCTGTTGTGGCAGACTTTTCTCTGCTTGTCCAAATATGACATGTTAAGAACTGCTCCATCCAGCTTCTTAGATGCTTCAAGCTCTTCTCGGAGACCTTTTCATCAGAAACAAAAGACTTCCAATTTTTACATAGATTGTGGTAGCGGCAGCTCAACAATTTAGTTCACTTTCATAGTTCAAGAGACCCTCGTCCCTTTTTCATTCCTTCATGATGCCCTCCAGCTAAATGTCAAATATGTAGAGTTTTCCATTTTCTCCAAATTTAGGATATTGCCATTATCAGTTTCAATATAAGCTAAAAGTCTTAAACCACAATTTAAAACTGCTTTAATATCCAGAGTTGCTCCCAAGTTAGAAATTCAATAAACTGGCAATTTCCTCATTTCTTTCGTCTTTATTGTGTATTTTATTTTAGTATGTTTGGGCAGCGTTGCAGATTTTCATAAGTGTATCTTATCAAAGTGTATCTTCAATATGTTCTCAAGTGTTCCAAGAGTGTTGGGGGAAAAAATGGGATTAAAATGTAGATTATTGAACTGCTGTAGATCTCCCAGAAGTTAGCTTTGCAGGTTGTTGTGATTGGGGCATTTTCAACATGCAGATGGTGCCCAAAGTATGCCCAAATTAATTGAAATGATTTTATTTAATGGCGGCAATCTCACAAATTGCTTAACAAAGTTTCAGGAAAATATACCAACATTTTACAAATAGAAATGATTCTGTTTGTTTAATATATATTGTATTCCAATTATCTCTTTAAATTAACCACCACCTTCCTTTTTGGGTGATTGAATTTTTCTCCCAAGTATTTTTCATTAGAGCTGCTAGTTTTTCCACTTGAAAGTTTAGATGATGTTGCAACTGGGTTACCCTGTTGTGTGTCAGTCATGATTTCTGTATAGTTTGATCCAGTGGTGAAATCCAAATTTTTTTACTACTGGTTCTATGGGCGTGGTGAGGTGTGGCTTGGTGGGCATGGCAGGGGAAGTATGCTGCAAAATCTCCATTCCCTCCCCACTCCAGGGGAAGGATACTGCAAAATCCCCATTCCCTCCCCATTCCTGGGGGAAGGATATTGCAAAATCTCCATTCCCACCCCACTCCAGGGGAAGGTTACTGCAAAATCCCCATTCCCTCCCCACTCCAGGGGAAGGATACTGCAAAATCCCCATTCCCTCCCCACTCCAGGGGAAGGTTAGTGCAAAATCCCCATTTCCTCCCCACTCCTGGGGGAAGGATATTGCAAAATCTCCATTCCCATCCCACTTTGGGACCAGCCAGAGGTGGTATTTGCCGATTCTCCGAACTACTCAAAATTTCCACTACCGGTTCTCCGAACTGCTCAAAATTTCCGCTACCAGTTCACCAGAACTAGTCAGAACCTGCTGGATTTCACCCCTGGTTTGATCCTAGTGTAATGTGTGAATGTGGCCAATTGTGGTTAAAGAAACAAGCACCTAGTTTGCTCTAAAAGGCAGTTTCTCAGCAAAATAAATTACTTAAACAGTCCCTAAAATCAGGTCTTTTCTAGATTTGGGGGCCACATTTGGTTGTTGTGGGGTAGCAGGGGGTTGTCTCTGAAATATTTGGTGGAATCAGAAGAAACCCCAGTTTAATTCCATCTCATTTATATAAAATGGACAAAAAAACCCCACATGAATAATACGATCCTCCAGTCATTTATTTAATGTTTTTCTTCTATTCCTTTAAGTAGTACATTTTGAGAAGCATTTCTGGAAATCTCCAAGGGCTACAAGCTATGTACTTCTGCACTAAACAATACTTTATCTTGATGAGAATGATCTGCAAATAATGAGTTATGTTGTTTCAGTTATAGTTAAGTTTTAATCTTGGGATGGTTATAAAATCTGGATTAATTTAAATTGTCATTTCAGGAAGGAATAGCTCTCTGTTCTGTTCCATAAACACATAACTCAGTCTCCCTCCCTCCCTTCCTTCCTGCCTGCCTTCCTTCCTGCCTTCCTATTTTCCTGCCTTCCTGCTTTCCTGTCTTTCTTCCTGTTTTCCTGCCCTTTTGTTTCCCTGCCTTCCTGTTTCCCTGCCTTCCTTCCTGCCTTCCTATTTTCCTGTCTTTCTTCCTGTCTTCCTGTTTTCCTGCCTTTCTGTTTGCTTCCTTCCTGCCTTCCAACTGATAATAATCATTCTACTTGTCTCTTTTACATGCATCTTTCTATCAGAACCTAACAGCAAGGCTTGAAAATTGCCATATCTGATCACCAATGGCGAGCAGAACTTATATGTAGCTTGATTGGAATGCTATCCGAAAACTGATGCTTGGCTTCCTACCGCATACCCCAAATCAGAAGTGGCTTCCGATGTGGAGCCCTTTAGGAGCCAAGAAAATTTAGAATTTAGGAGACATAGTCAAAAGAGAGAAAGGGAAGGTTTTGTTTTTTTTACAAATTTTTTATTTTTTAAAAAACATATCAATGCGTGAACAGTTTGGCACCTGGGTATCAAGCATTCTAATACAAATAAAACTAGTAGAATTAATCATAGTTATTATATTCAATCAACTTGTATATTTCTAATAATGATACACATTTATATTAAGTTGCAGTTTCTCATTATTCAATTATTCCATGTTTTCTCTTGTTATTGCTTTTATTTTATTATATAAAGGTGTATACACTAATATTCCCCTTCTCTTATTTGTATCTCTTATTCTAACTTTTAATCATGTCACCCTTTATTAAAAAAAAAAATTCTTTCTGTCCTACCTAACTTCTAGTCGTCACCTACCTAAAAAAAAAAAGAAAGAGAGAGAAAAGGAAAAGGAAATCAGAACAACAACAACAACAATAAAGAAATCATCTATCCATCGTCTCTTGCCCGTTTCAATACTTTAATTGCTATGCTTTTTTTGGCTTTCCTCTCGTATTTCTCTCTTGAATCTTTATCTCTGTCTGCATCTGCTTCTTGGCTGTTCAGTTTAGGTATTTCTCCCGCCTCTACCCTCTTCCACTGCCTAGTTCTCAAAATTTCTGCCCAGGCCCCTATCTGAGAAAGGGAAGGTTTTGTTCTGTCCAAAGATTCACTATTTCTTTCTGGAAAGTGCCACAAATACGATGCAGATTTCTACTTTTTTCAAATAGGATTTGTTTCATTTCTCCTAGTTGCTACCCCAAATTCACATTGTTTTCTCTTTCCCTTTTACAGCAGGAAAGGATTTCGTATACTCCGCCTGTGAGCCCAGTAGACGATTATCCTTCCTCGTCACCTCTCCATGTCCCACTGCATCGTACCATCAGGATGGAGGAAGAGACCCTCAGACTTCCAGCCCATTTGCGTGAGTGTTTCAAACGTGGCTTTTTTGAGAAGATGTGGGGAAGAGGACAGGAGTGGTTCCAGGTCCTACTTTTTAAAATGCAGATCCTTGCTCAATGCCATTGAAATATGTGGTGGAGATCTGTTGCAGGTCTCCAGAAGATATGCATAGTTGGGAAGATGTATCAGGATGTGCAAAATGGTTCATCCTAGAAGACTCCATTTCCATGAGTTGTTCTGTGTGATCCAGAAGTGGTTGGTCCTCAAATGGGGATGTCAACTCGCAAAGCATCCCTGGCCTGTTCTCGAGTTGCCATAAGCAAGGGGGGATGGGAAACCGACGAAATGGTATGGCAGCCAAAGACAGATGCACATTCCAGACTTATCTCTCTCAAGGCTGTATTCCAGGGTTACCCACAGCGGCCAGAGGGGAGTGGTTTCTACAACCCACGAAATTGCTCCGTTGGCGAATGTGATTGATGACACACCCTCGGGCGGAGGGGGGAAACAGGCTCATGATTGGGACGTAAATTATGTAGGGTCAGAGCTGGCTTCACTTAGGAACATGCCGACATGAAGCTCCTAATAAATAACTGGATTTCTTCTGAAGCTTGGCTCGAGGCTCATGATTTAATTAGGGCATCCGTCAATATTGTCTTTCTCTACCACTATCACTATGCTTTGTCTTCATGTTCTAGTAGAAACTTCTACAGCTATTGTATGGATGCAGCCCAAACGTTCTTTCTGGGCCATAATTAGATTTTCTGTGTGGTTTTTAAGGATGCCCCTCTGAATAATTTATTTGTATTCCTAAGACTGCACTACAGGTAGTCCTTGAATTATGATGGTTCATTTAGTGACCATTCAAAGTTACAACGGCACTGTCACTTGGGACTGCTTTTCACAGTTACGACTTTTGCAGCCTCCCCATGATTTATGCGATCAAAATTCAGACGCTTGGCAACTGGTTCATATTTATGACCGTTGCTGCCTCCCAGGGTCACATGATCGTCTTTTGCGACCTTCTGACAAGCAAAGTCACTGGGGAAGCCAGATTCACTTAACAACTGAGGCAAGAAAGGTCGTAAAATGAGGCAAAACGCACTCAACAGATGTCTACTTAACAATAGAAATTTTGGTCTGAATTGCGCCCATTAGTCGAGGACTACCTGTGCTGAATTCTCCTTTAATGTCTTGAGAATTTGTACTTTGGGTTATTATTGGTGTTATAGCATCCTGCTTGGCCTTTGGTGTCCTACAAAAACAGTTAAGGTTGTTTATATTTCTGTTAATAGGTAATAGGAGAATATGATGGCTAAAAGCAGGGGTGAAATGTAAAATTTGTTACTACTGGTTCTGTGGGCGTAGCCTGGTGGGGGGGGTAATGTGACTGGGTGGGCGTGGCCAACTTTTTTTTTTTTAACTTTTCAAAGCAATTTTTCTAATGCTTTGAAAAGCCTCTGACGATCAGGCAACTCAGCTGGGATCGTCAGAGAGGCTTTTTAAAAAATGCTTTGAAAAGCCTCTCTGACATCAGGCAACTCAGCTGGGATCGTCAGAGAGGCTTTTAAAAAACTGCTTTGAAAAGCCTCTGACGATCCCAGCTGAGCCGCGCGATCATCAGAGGCTTTTTCTTTTTTTTTACTTCTAAAAGCATTTTTTTGTGGGAAGAGGTGGTAGAAAATGGCTTTTAAAGTAAAAAAAAAAAAGCCTCTGATGATCGTGCGGCTCAGCTGGGCATGGTGGGGGGGGCGCAGGGATTTTTGCTACCGGTTCTCCGAACCACCTGCCGCCATCGCTACCGGATCGGGCGATCCGGTCCAAACCGGGAGCATTTCACCCCTGGGTTAAAGCACATGCTCTGCTTCGTTTAGAATTGGTCTAAAGGAAGCAATTTCCAAGTAACGAAAGTAGTGTGTGAAATTAGAGTTTTGGGCAGGGCTAACCATTGAGCCTTCATGGGAACATAGGGGAAAAAAAATTAGGGCAAGGAACGGTGTGTACTAGTCAGCCTTCAACAGATTTTATCACCTTCTTTAATATAGTGCTTTTGATCATTAGACTTCCTCTTGTTTCCCTTTTATATTATCTCAATTAAAAAAAAAATATATCAATGCTCAGTTGGTCTGATGAAATTCAGAAGTTTGTTCTCTCTGTCCCAGCCTTTCTCCCTAATCTGCCCAAAGGCCAAGTTTCAATTTCTTGAGGACACTGCCTAAGATAAAAAGCCTTCCCTGCATTAAGGGCTTCCCGGATGTACATTTCTTGGAAACACCCAAAAAACTAGGTTTTGCCAACAAAACGAAACGAAACAAAAATCCCTCCCTTAGAAGAGCACCGTACCAAATTGCAAATGAGTGGATTTCCATTGCTGGTGTTTAAAGGGAAACGAAAGAGAAGATAGATAAGGATCCAGTTTCGTCCTTTGATCCCAAATCAGGAAATAGTTAATATTGTTGCTCGTCCTTCTCTTGTAAGGGACACGGTGGCTCAGTGGCTAAGACACTGAGCTTGTTGATAGAAAGGTCAGCAGTTCAGAAATTTGAATCCCTAGTGCCGCGTAACAGGGTGAGCTCCCGTTATTGATGGACAGACTAAAGGTAAAAAGGTAAAGGTTCCCCTCGCACATATGTGCTAGTTGTTCCCGACTCTTAGTGCTCATCTCCGTTTCAAAGTCGAAGAGCCAGCGCTGTCCAAAGACGTCTCCGTGGTCATGTGGCCAGCATGACTAAATGCCAAAGGCGCATGGAACGCTATTACCTTCCCACCAAAGATGGTCCTTATTTTTCTACTTGCATTTTTTACGTGCTTTCGAACTGCTAGGTTGGCAGAAGCTGGGACAAGTAACGGGAGCTCACCCCGTTACGCGGCACTAGGGATTCGAACTGCTGAACTGCCGACCTTTCGATCGACAAGCTCAGCATCTTAGCCACTGAGCCACCGTGTCAACATGCATAGGGATAGCTAAACACACACGGGTGCTTCAGAAAATTGGCTTGCTCCAATTTTGGATTGGAATCTTCACTGTCTCTGACTTTCTGAAGCAGCTGCCTTTCCTTATTCATCTTTTCATACATAAGACGGAACAATGCCAGGGGAATTCAGTGGGTAAGAGCTGAGTTTGGTGGCTTCAGATGCTCTTTTCTTCCTTGCCCAGCTCAATTCTGATGTGGAGCCCTTCTTTGGGCCTAAGATATGCAGAGTTGACAGGATCTGCACAAACATGAAGGTGTTTGTTTAAGTCATGTCAGAGGCCGTTAAGAGGTTTTCGGTTTCCCCCCCAAAAAAATTCAGGAACACAAGAAAGTTACAAGCAAAAAAAAAGCAACCTCTTTAAGTTAGACAAATGTTTTCATTCTGGGTTAAAACCCATTTTGATGTTTGTTTTTTTTTAAGAACCAAAACATCTCCAGTGATGGAAAGGGGGAAATGAAGATGCTAGGATAGGACGTTAAGTCACGATTTAGACTGCAGTTGTTTGGTGTTGTGTATGGGACAGCTCTGAGTCCATTAGAAAAATGCAGAAACTTTTACGGGCCAAGGGTCAATCCTGAGATTTGAAGAACCCCCTGGGAGCTTCAAATCCAAGCCAGCTATGACTACAAATCTACTTTTCCAGAAACACAATTCTATATTTAGTAAAAGGGCAGGCTCTGGCACCTCTTCCACAGGGTCCATCAAGTGATTCCAGGATCCCAAAGTTATATACAGGTAGTCTTCGACTTAATGACTGCAATGGAGCCCAAAATTTCTGTTGCTCGACAGTTGTTAAGAGAGGGGTTTTTTTGCCCCATTTTACATCTTTTCTTGCCACGGTTATTAAATGAATCACTACACTTGTAAATTTAGTAATACTTCCCCATTTACATCGCTTACCCGAAGGTCGCAAAAGCTGATCATGTGACCCTGGGACACTGCATCCGTCATAAGTATGAGCCAGTTGCCAAGTCTCCAGATTTTGATCACGTGACCAAGGTCACGTGTGAAAAACGGTCATAAGTCACTTTTTCAGTGCGGTTGTAACTTTGGTCCCTATAAATGAATGGTTGTACAGTTTACCTGTACCACTATTGTATAGGATTGGTCAGCTTCCTACCTGACTTTTTTCACCTCCTTTTTTTTTTTTTCAATGGTAGGGAATCCTAACCCTGAGAATAGAGCAGAGCAGAGCAGAACAGAACAACAGAGTTGGAAGGGACCTTGGAGGTCTTCTAGTCCAACCCCCTGCTCAGGCAGGAATCCCTATACCATTTCAGACAAATGGTTGTCCAGTCTCTTCTTAAAAACTTCCAGTCTTGGAGCAATTACAACTTCTGGAGGCAAGTCGTTCCACTGATTAATTGTTCTAACTTGTCAGAAAATTTCTCCTTAGTTCTAATGATGAAAAGCATTGTAAGAGAGAAGGAAAATTCTAAGAACCTCCTTTCCCCTTCAAATTTGTTTAAAAACAAACTAAAGCAGGAATTTGAATCTCCCATTAAAAAAACAACAACACCCTTTTGCAAAAAACGGCAAAACAAGATCTGGATGTCTTGACTGGCAGTCTTCAGCTTAAACGAATCACATGGTTGTTAAGCGAATTAGGCTTCCACCATTAACTTTGCTTGTCGGAAGCCATCTTAGAAAGTCCCCAAAGACGATTGATCATGTGACCCCGAGGATGCTGCAACCAACTTAAATACATGCTGATTGCCAAGCATCCAAATCTTGATTGTGGGAATATGGGGGATATTGCAGCAGTTGTTAAGTGCAAGAACCGATTGCAAGTCATTTTTTTCCCAGGGCTATTGTAACTTTGAATGGTCATTAAATTAATGATTGTAAGCTGAGGACTACCCGCATTTCCGTCTTGGCAGATTGAAGAAGGCTGGACTTCAACTCTCCGTAAAAGGGGAAGGATTTCTCTGTTCATAATGATTGCTTTCTTCCATCTCTTCTTTTTTTGCCACAGTTTTGTTGATGCAAAACGTTCCTTTTTTTGGGTCTTTGGAAAAAACATTCAGGGATGGCAGAGCCTTGTTC